TCCCTCTCTCTTTCTCTCATTCCCTCTCTCTTTCTCTCATTCCCTCTCTCTTTCTCTCATTCCCTCTCTCTTTCTCTCATTCCCTCTCTCTTTCTCTCATTCCCTCTCTCTTTCTCTCATTCCCTCTCTCTTTCTCTCATTCCCTCTCTCTTTCTCTCATTCCCTCTCTCTTTCTCTCATTCCCTCTCTCTTTCTCTCATTCCCTCTCTCTTTCTCTCATTCCCTCTCTCTTTCTCTCATTCCCTCTCTCTTTCTCTCATTCCCTCTCTCTTTCTCTCATTCCCTCTCTCTTTCTCTCATTCCCTCTCTCTTTCTCTCATTCCCTCTCTCTTTCTCTCATTCCCTCTCTCTTTCTCTCATTCCCTCTCTCTTTCTCTCATTCCCTCTCTCTTTCTCTCATTCCCTCTCTCTTTCTCTCATTCCCTCTCTCTTTCTCTCATTCCCTCTCTCTTTCTCTCATTCCCTCTCTCTTTCTCTCATTCCCTCTCTCTTTCTCTCATTCCCTCTCTCTTTCTCTCATTCCCTCTCTCTTTCTCTCATTCCCTCTCTCTTTCTCTCATTCCCTCTCTCTTTCTCTCATTCCCTCTCTCTTTCTCTCATTCCCTCTCTCTTTCTCTCATTCCCTCTCTCTTTCTCTCATTCCCTCTCTCTTTCTCTCATTCCCTCTCTCTTTCTCTCATTCCCTCTCTCTTTCTCTCATTCCCTCTCTCTTTCTCTCATTCCCTCTCTCTTTCTCTCATTCCCTCTCTCTTTCTCTCATTCCCTCTCTCTTTCTCTCATTCCCTCTCTCTTTCTCTCATTCCCTCTCTCTTTCTCTCATTCCCTCTCTCTTTCTCTCATTCCCTCTCTCTTTCTCTCATTCCCTCTCTCTTTCTCTCATTCCCTCTCTCTTTCTCTCATTCCCTCTCTCTTTCTCTCATTCCCTCTCTCTTTCTCTCATTCCCTCTCTCTTTCTCTCATTCCCTCTCTCTTTCTCTCATTCCCTCTCTCTTTCTCTCATTCCCTCTCTCTTTCTCTCATTCCCTCTCTCTTTCTCTCATTCCCTCTCTCTTTCTCTCATTCCCTCTCTCTTTCTCTCATTCCCTCTCTCTTTCTCTCATTCCCTCTCTCTTTCTCTCATTCCCTCTCTCTTTCTCTCATTCCCTCTCTCTTTCTNTTCTCTCTCGTTCTTTCTTTCTCTCCCCCTCTTTGTCTCTTTCCCTCCCTTTCTTTCCTTCTAGCCCCCCCCCCTCCTTCTCTCTCTTTCTTTATGCCCCCCTCCTTCTCTCTCTCTTTCTTTATGCCCCCCTCTCTGTTTTGATCCTCTATCTTCTTCTCTTGATGTTTGATTGCCTAAAGATGATTTTATATTTTCCAGTGTTGACCCTGCCTCTCTCTCACCCACCCTCTCACTCTGTCTCTCTATCTCTCTGTCAGTCAATTTCAATCTCTCTCTTAATATTCCCCTCTTTATCTCTCTCCCACTTTATCTCTTACCCTCTTAATCTATCTCCCTCTTCATTTCTCTCCCTCCGTCTCTCCCTCTTTATTTGTTGTCGCTCTATCACTTTTTCAACGTATATCTCTCACTCTTTATCTCTCTCCCTCTCTAACTCTCTCCTTTGTTAACACATTTCTCTTTATCTCTCTACCTTCGTCTTTCCCTCTCTATCCCTCTCTGTCTTTAACTCTACTCTCTTTTCTCACTCTACTGAATTTACGTTTATTTCACAGTCTCCCTCTGTGTGTGTGTATATATGTAGAAGTGTATGTGGGTGCCTATTTCACATCTAAGTCCGTGCATGGTTGGTTGTGTGTGTATGTCTATGTTTGGATGTAAATGTGTAAGTGTATACGTAAAGCACTAAATGCTTGATTCGTGATACAGTATACCTTCATACCCCAACACACACATACTAACACGCCAACATCTTGATCGCTGAAATGGAAAGTCAGCAGCAGAGGACAGCAACGGTTATTTCTCTCTTCTTCACGTGACAGAAGCTATTACTTTCAAAGGATTTTCAGTTTCACAGATTGCTCTGTCTGACCTCTGTAGCCAGTAGCTGACCCAGTGACTGACCCAGTGACTGACCTTGAAGCCACTAGCTGACCCAATGTCTGACTTTAAAACCAGTAGCTCACCCAGCGTCTTACATTGAAGCCAGTAGCTGACCCATTGACTGGCCCTGAAGCCAGTAGCTGACCCAGGGTCCGACCTTGAAGCCAGCATCTGACACAGTGACTGACATTGAAACCAGTAGCTGACCTATTGTCTAACCTTGATACCAGTAGCTGACCCATTGTCTAACCTTGATACCAGTAACTGACCCATTGTCTAACCTTGATACCAGTAACTGACCCTGTGTCCTATTTTGAAGCCAATTGCTGACCCCGTGTTCGACCTTGAAGCCAGTTGTTGACCTAGTGACTGACCTTGAAATCAGTTGCTGACACAGTGACCGGCCTTGAAGCCTCAACTGACCCAGTGTCTGACCTTGAAGCCAGTATCATACCCAGTGTCTGACTTTGAAGCCAGTAGCTGACCTAGAGTCTGACCTTGAAACCAGTGTCGCGATGTAAACAAGGCCTACATAAATTGTGTTGCAAATAGCTACGTTTCTCTACAGTATGCTGTTCATGTTTCTTGACATTCAAAATTAAGTTCTTTTCTAATATGTCATGCCCCAACCCCCGAGACTCGAGAGAAGCCGCACACATATTTTTGTGCCCCTTGTTTTAGCCATCAGTGCTGGCTGCCATTGATTGCAACAAGCGGTCTCTAAAGACCGTCATTAGACGGGCCATCGCGAACAAAAGGATGACAAGCGATCTGTCTTCAATGTAAAAAAAAAAAGGTATGAATTATGTGTTGGCTGCTGGGTCTGTTGAGAAAGTTTTGCAGCGTTCTAACTTTCTGTGGGTGGCGCATGCGGAGTGGTGCATGTGAAGTGGTGTATGTGAAGTGGTATAATTAAAAGTGGTGTATGCGAAGTGGTGTATGCGAAGTGGTGTATGCGAAGTGGTGTATGCGAAGTGGTGAATGTGAAGTGGTGTATGCCAAGTGGTGTATATGAAGTGGTGTATTCCAAGTGGTGTATGCGACGTGGTGTATGTGAAGTGGTATAATTAGAAGTGGTGTATCTCAAGTGGTGTATGCGCAGGGGGGCAATGCGAAGTGGTGTATGTGAAGGGGGGTATGCGAAGTGGTGAATGTGATAAGTCTCCTCTTAGAGGTTCATTAAACAGCACTGCTATTTATAGTAAACATAGAATCAATTAACGAAAAGACTTTTTGACATAAATTCTCAGTTTGTGTTCGTAACTAATTGAATGTAATCCATTCATGACTTAACCCCCAACTAAAAATGAGATGGGATGTCTTTAGATGGAGCCCGGCTCTTTGATTGCGACCAACATTGCCAACTTCATTCATTTATCCATAACTGGATTTATTTATTTTTTTTAATTTTAGAGGAGGAGTTGGAGCAGAAACAAATAATTAGCTACACATTACTGAAATGTAAATGTCTTTATATAGGCCTAGTAATTTATCATCTTCCGTCTTTGTTTAGTTTGTGCTCTTGGGTTGTATTTGTAGGTGCTGTAGCACATGATCTTTATGTTTCGTGATTATATTTTATGTTTTATAAGATTTTAAAGAGCATTTGTAAGTTAAGATTTATATATTTTTTTTTAAAATTCCATTTTGAAAGACAGTTTCATTAGCTCCAACTTATTTTTTCCTGCAAACAAAACGACTTACACAGCGCTGAACATTTCCAGTAAGTAATTAAGTGTGGTCGCCCTAATCAATGAAGTTAGCCACGCTAACTCGATTCGAAAGGTCAAGGCCACAAGGTGAGCTATTGATCTTTCAGCGGCGTGCGTGAGCCAGGCAAAGACAGTGCGATGCACACGAAAGAGCGAGGCACACACAAGAGCGAGGCACACGAAAGAGCGAGGCACACGACACATTTGTTCCAATCCCAAAGTTTTTTTTCTTCTTGACTTGGGTCGATAGACCAATTAGGCAGACATATCATGAAGAGGTTCGGCATTTAAAAACAACAGCATTTTTTAGATCTATCTTCAGGCGTCAAATTGTATTAAACTGAAAACCGCCAAATTAATGTAACCAGGTCATTTTTAACCACCACGTGTCACTTAGCCTGAGTATATTTCAAAATTAGCCATACGAAAAGTTGGGTAAGATTGAGTTGATTTACAACATATGTCAAGTTTGAAATACATATTTTTTTTTTTTTTACAATTTAATTTAGCGAGTGGCGTTCAATGAATTCGGTTTCAACGATACTGTACTGACCTCTATAACATGACGTCATCGCAGACGAGGTAAAGTTTGCAAAGAGCGCTCAAAGAGACAACTTCTTGCGATACGTTGCCCCTGACACTGTGATTTGTCGGTTCGAACCGGTCAGTGTTTCCGTATTAAACTCATTGAAATTCTGGCGACTCTTAAGGGTGAAACTGTGTGGATCTTTTGACGCTATCGTGGTTCCACCAGCTCTCGTTCAGAGGGGGATCTGCTGCTTTGGAAATGGTTGATGCTCCATAAAACACATTACTCGGGCATCATGGTTTCGCCAGAAATATTTTAAGTGCAATTACAACTTACTTGGGCGGTAATTATTAAACTTTTTTTTTTTTAATTGAAAGCTTGTTACGGTCTGAGATGTCGGTTTTCGATTATTATTATTACGATATTTATTATGATTATATTATGATTATAATTATTATTATTCACAAATCTTTTTAGTTCTTTAATTCTTGAAAAAGGAATCGATTCCAAAATGGACTCGCTCTACAAGATCAAATTGTAATTTTCTTTATTAAAAAGTTATATTTACAATAAATCTGAAGTCTGGGTTATGAGTGGTGATGCGAGTCGATTCCATTGTTAAATATCTTAAAGAGAAAGTTCACAATTATAACTCATCAATCAACTTTATTTACATTTTTTTTAATACTAACAAAATTAGACAACATTTTAAAAAAACGCTAAATATTTGTAATGATTGCAGTAGCTCTATAAAATCTACGCAAAATAGTGCTTCAGTTGTTGGCCGAAAAAAGGGGGGGGGGTAGCTATGTTCACCGTGCAAATGCTTAATTGTGAAGAAGCAAATCGATTTTGAGAATTGCATTGACATGGCCTGCGAACTGATTTAATTAGCATTCATAAAGACGACAATAACATTCCCCCTTTTTGATTTCATGAACTTTCTTGCACTCTGTGTTCACTGGCGAAGTCATGTCACCAAGGGCGTTTCCATTTTTGTATCTGGTCAGTTTAATTTAAGATGAGCGGTATACTCTGTTCTCACGTTGTGTCGTCTGAGTCTTTGATGCTTCTTCCGAAAATTCCATTTCAAATCAAGCGTGGTTCAGTAGTGCAAACTTCAACGTGAGACGTGAGAAATGGTGTGACGTAACCATAGTTTTAACGGGTCTTAATTTTTTTTTAATTTTTTTTTTATGGCCTACAAAATTCATCGTTCCAAAAAAAAAAGGTAGTAATAATAATAATTTATGAACATTACTAAATTTTACAAGAAATATTTTAATTTCCTGCCTCACATAAATAAATTATTTTTAAAGGAAATTTCCTAAAACCTGGGGTAGAATGAGTTTTTCAAAAAAAAATTGTTTAGCTTATTTTAAGCATTCCACAAACTGTCCGTAGTAAAAAGCCTTTATATATACAAATATGTTTTCCTTTTTTTCCCCCTAGTTTTGAGACAATTCAGCATTCTGTTTTTGGTAAAACATTTCACCAGTCATCCGAAAAATGGAATCACATTATTACTGGGGTTCGTCCTCCTCGGTTTGGGGATGGTTTCTGGAGGCGGGCACACGTTGTAGAAGACGCCGATCTCACCGATTTCTGTGCAAATGTCGTCAAGCTTCGCCCACGTCAGGGCGGTGATGATACTGAAGGGCGTGTAGTAGGGCATGCGCCCCACGGGCATCGTGCTGGATAAAACGCCAATGATCTTTTTACCTTGTCTGGAATCGTCTGAAAGCACAGCGGCACCGGAGTTCCCCACGGCCGAGTCGCACCGCGTCAGTATGAGATTCCAGTCGACCATGGCCTTGTTGGCTCTAGCCGGGCAGACGGACATCCACAGGCTGTTGTCGTTGGTGGGGAAGCCCAGGAACTGCAGGTTTTGGTTCAGCACGGACGGCGTCGGCACCTCCAAGGGGAAGAAATTGTTCCGGTCGTGCACGCCGTAGCTGAGCCTGATCACGGCATAGTCCCACGACAGGCGGTGTTCGTGGTTGCTCCTGGGGTACAGCCATCTGCTGGGAATGCTGATCTTCTCTATGTAGTAGACCCGGAACCCAATACTGATGGGCACCTCAACTTTGAGCATCTCCAGCTTACTGCGAAAGTCCACTCCCGTGTGAACGCAGTGAGCTGCTGTGAGCACGTGTAGTGGAGTCACCAGAGTCCCGGTGCATCCGGTAGAAAGGCGAACAATGTTCGAGTAAGGAAATTTCCGCATCATGGCCGGGTATATCTTCAGTCTGTCGTCTTTCCCGAAAACAAATACTTTTTTATCATACGCCCTTATATCTCTCTTACTTATAGTATCAGCTAAATGATCTTGTGAAGAGCGGGGCACATCAAACGAAATTTTACGAGTGGAATACACCGAGGAATCAAAGTCTTGCCTTCGGTTCTTTTCTGCCCAGCTTTGTATTATTTTTAGAACTTTCACCGGAGACGCTGACCGGTCTTTTCTGTCACGTGAGGCTACTTCAAACTCCTCGAATGTCATACCGTGTTGATCCGACGGGTGGCAGTCCCGAAGAAACGATAATAGTTTCAAGTTTGAGGTGTTGAGCTGACACTCAGCTTTTCTGCGGGAAGGCAAGTGTGAATGTGGCTCCGGTAGCCAGGCGTGTGGGGCATCTTCCGCTTGGACCCCGGGCAGGTGAGGTAGAGTGGTGACGCAGCATAAGAAGGTGAGCAGCCATGTCCAAGACTCTGTGAGGTGATGGAATGTTGGGAACTGCAATCTTAGCTGTTGCCCCAGCCGGGCCACACGTGCATCCATGTTGTCAGAAGAGTGGAATCAATTCTGAGAAGAGAAATACAAAATTTAAAGTTAAATAAATTCAAATTAAACTTTAAAAATTGCACAAAAGCGTTTTCAGTCTTGAGTTCCTATTTCTTAAATGTTAAATATAATATTAGCAAAAGTTTTTAAACCCTTTCATAGGATTGGACACCAACCGTAATTTTTTTTCATTAAATATATACAGGGTGGGCCAAAAAAAGTGAGAACATCTTGTAAAATATTACGTTACGAAATGTTCTCACTTTTATTGGCCCACCCAATTATATTATTTAATATTTTTTTTTTAATGTGAGCGAAAATTTCGTTGTCTCTTAAAGTTTTAGGGCGAAAATGGTAGATTAAAGGACTCAAGGTTGTCCAATCCTGTCATAAATGAAAGGGTTCTAATGTTTTGTAATCTTTTGAATTAAATTTAATTCAAAAACTCAATTTAACTCGTTTAGAATAATATAATGCACATGAAACTTAATATTTCCCAGAGTTTGAAAGTCACCGAATTGTAGTTTCAGTTCTATCATTATAATGTGTTATGGAAGATTTGTTTTGTTTTTTTTTAAATTATAAGGTATTCCAGGGGTCAAAAAATGTTACATGGGCCATTAAGTGTTGATGGCGTCACATTAAAAAACCCACACAAACTACACGTTCTCATAAATGCATCGTAAAATCGTATAGTGCGTGGTCTAGAGCAGATTAAGCCTACTCAAAAATGATGCAACGGACGGCATGACGTCACTCCATAAATCAGTCTGGTCAAGTGTGGACACCCTTGCTACGCACTGCTCTCCGTAGAGAGAAATTAATCTCCTATTTACATGTATGGCTCGTTCCAAAACAGCGCATAACAAGACGATACCAAATGATAAAAAACAGGAACAGAGAATACGACACTCAAAACAGTGCTAACTGCAATTAAAAAGTTTTATTAAGTTAGTAACGAATTACAAAATAAAAGAAATATACTTAAAATCATTAACTTACAGAACATAACAGAGTATTGTGTTTCTTGTACCGGTAAAAAAGTGGACGAAAATTACAATTTGCCAAACAAAGGTACAACGATGAAAGGAATTCACACATGTAAGTAGACACAGCTCTATCAGGAATAACACGCTACAAAATTAAATGCTAGCCCCGTAAAGAAAAAAAAATTATCGTCCAAAAATAATGCTCTCTTTGCTTTTTATAGTCTGTTCTACAGAAAATTCCAGTCGTATTACGCATTGTATTAGTGACTCGAACATTGTACAATTTACTTCCATTTTCTTCCGCATGCGAGTCAAGAAAAACAGGTGATAGATTGTTTTGTGGTAAACAAGATCAAAGGGAATAAGCCACGCCCAATACTAACGCAGCGTCTGCCAGAGTTCACAACACGAGGGATATATGACGTGAACGCGTCTTCTAAATAACACCCTGGTCAAGCTGAAGGGGATGTTGGAACTCGTTCACCTGATGGGCATGTCAAAACTCGTTCACCTGATGGGCATGTCAAAACTCGTTCACCTGATGGGCATGTCGAAACTCGTTCACCTGATGGGCATGTCAAAACTCGTTCACCTGATGGGAACTCGTTCACCTGATGGGCATGTCAAAACTCGTTCACCTGATGGGCATGTCAAAACTCGTTCACCTGATGGGCATGTCGAAACTCGTTCACCTGATGGGCATGTCAAAACTCGTTCACCTGATGGGCATGTCAAAACTCGTTCACCTGATGGGCATGTCAAAACTCGTTCACCTGATGGGCATGTCAAAACTCGTTCACCTGATGGGCATGTCAAAACTCGTTCACCTGATGGGCATGTCAAAACTCGTTCACCTGATGGGCATGTCGAAACTCGTTCACCTGATGGGCATGTCAAAACTCGTTCACCTGATGGGGATGTCAAAACACGGTTAATTGATCGTGACTGGACTAACCCCGGTCTGAGTACAGAGTTCCTTTTTAACGCAGCGACACCGTTACCGTTTTTAGCCTCATGGTTTACCTTTGCTTTATTTTTAACTGCACATCGTGATATTGAAACTATTAAATAATTGGGTCGACAATCCAACTATTTTAAAATACATTAGAAAAATATAGAAGCTCCTTCAAAACTGACCAGCTTTACATACACACACACACAAAACACACAAAAACACACAAAAACAAACAAGCAACAACTTTCCACAATAGTTTCCTGCATCATATAAAACAATTATTACTTATGAGTATTTAATTCATAACAATTTTTAAAAAAGATAAGACAATTTTCTGTAGAACAATTTTTACAATCGATAAGGAGTCAAACGCCTGTGGGACGGGGTGGTAGAGAGCGGACCCCTGATTCTCCACAATCAAAATACATTTGTATTTATTACTTTAAAAGATAAACTACAAAAATAAATGACAGGAACGCCGTTCCCACGTGTTCCTGCAGGGACGCCGCCCCTGCAATCAATACAACAAATTATGCAGACATGAAATGTGTTGCATTAACGATAACAACACTGAAGTAGCAACTAACATTGATTTATGAATGCAACACTTAAGCGGTTCCAAAATGGTACTGTAAGAAATCCTTAGAACTTTTTGGCATCATTGTAGATTTCGACCTTCTTCTCTTGTATGGCTAACACTGTGAATATTAGCAATTGAGTGCGCCAATCCCCCCCCCCCCGCCTTTTTTTCAATCACAATGCTATTTGTATCACATCTCTGAAGAACATGTACGAGCCGAGGTCCCTCAATCAGCGAAGCGTTGAGGACCACTGCAATATGCAAATATTCGCGTGGGCGGCTGTTTTATTGTTGTTGACACAACGGAAAATTGGAAGAAGTCAGAAAAAGAAAAAAAAAAAACTTTGGCAACTAACCGTCGTCGTAAAGGAAGCCTATTAGCGGGAGAAAAATACCCTCCCCCCCTTTTTTTAAACCAAGTTTTTTTGTTTCTTTTGGTTTTCCCAGCTCGCTCTAAATGCTTTCAATTCAAAGCACTTCCGCTCTTTATCGGCCAAACTGCTTTCGTTGCCATGCCGGGCAAACTGGACGGTGAACGGTTTAATCTATTCGCCCCTCCGACCTTACTGAGACCAAAGGCGAAGAACGCTTTTCGGCACATGAAATATTGCAGATAGAAGCACGGGAATAAGAGGAGAATTTACAAGGTCGACCCCCCCCCCCCCGTTGCTTGTCTCCGTTTGAGAGAGTGGAAGAACGTAAAGAACAGGACAGCGTGTAAATTTAAACCCCAGCCCTTGCATATGACGTCAATTGAGCGCTTTTATTTGTTTTTTAAATCGATGGTCAAAAGAAAAAAAGGAAAGAAAAAAAAAACAGAAAACGGACGTCATATGAAAACGTCATATGAAAACGTCATATGAAAACGTCACGGTCGTCCTCTAAGATTGGAGCAAGGGTACTCAAACTTTTTAAAACAAGGGGCGGGATTAGCGCGCCTCAGACACATTCCGAGGCCGGACTCTAGTTTGAAAAGAATATGAAAAACTTCTATGTACACTGCACATATCAATTTACCAATAGAACTAGGACTCATTATTTTGACTAATAAAACTTGGTATTATAATTGTGACTATTAGAACTAAGTCTCATCATTTTGACCAAAAGAACTGGGTTTCATAGTTTTGATCATAATCAGAACGTAGTCCGGCGCATGAGTCTCGAATTAAGCACACATCACGGTTGATAATCCGCATACGCTAAAAAAGAATTATTTCTTTGGATACAAATATATGCACCGCACTAGCTCAATAACAAAGGGTGGCACATTATAGTCTCGTATCCGAACATGATCTTCTCTGAAACTCCTAGGAAACAACTCCCATATTCGTCTTCGAGAGTACACGCCCTAGGTTCTCAATAGGACTTTTGATTAGGATATGTAGAAAACTGACCTTACATGATTTCAGCCAACAGAGGTCGGACAATAAAGGTGTTTTTTAAATTTTTTTTTTAAATTTTAGAAATCGTGTAGTAGCAGAGCAGTTTCGATTCCGATTTCTCCTTCAACTATTATCAATAACCCTCCTCTCCCCCCTCTTCAAACTGATCGCTATTTGAATTGGGACATATTTCAATTGTGGAACACACGCTCCAACTGACCACTTTGCCTGCCAAAGTGTTGGCATCAAGCTATTCGTACACTGCTGTCTAAAAGGAGTTTATGGAAATACCAACCCAATCGGTTAATTATTGTCTGTGCGTGGCGAACACAGCATACATTTATTCAATGTACGTCACATGGATGATGACATCCGCCTGAAGAGAAATCCCAAAAAGGGAAATCGGCTAACGCATGCACATTCTTTATTTATTTAATTGTATATTATTAATCCCCAAAAGCGGCCCCCCCCTCAACCTGCAGCTGTCCACAACTTGGCGATCTAGGTTCACCAATAAATACAATGCATGGCATTAAATGAGTAATGGCTTTATGAGATATTCGAGAAAACCCAGGTCAAAAAATTGAACAGCTGTTTAAATGACAAGAGCCTGAAGAAACACACTTTGTAAAAAGTCATAATTGTCAGAGAAGTATTTGGGCTGGATGTCATCAAGAGTATTATTTTTAGAGGGGTATATGAACTGGATATAAAAAAAATCTGCTGTTAAAGTGGTATGTGCATCTATTTAATCAATATTATTATTGTCAGAGCGGTATGTGTGCAAGATGTCATTAAGATTGGTGGTGTGATTATATTTATTTTTCCGATAGTGAATTCTGGTAAGAAGCTATAACTATTTGAGCATTTAGGAATATTGCACTTCAGATCATTCATGACCCAACTGTTCTTCTGATCATATTCATTTGATCCCATTCCAAATGCCTTGTGAATAGGAAGACTGTACGAGTTTTCTTTCCTTCTCCTTTCTTAAAACTTATTTTTGTTATAAATACTTTGTGTAACGAAATGTAGTCTTCTTATTTCATACCATCTCCTTCTGTAGCATACCGTCTCCTCTATCATACTATCTCTTTCTCTATCATATCATCTCCTCTATCATATCACCTCATTCTCTATCATACCACCTCCCTTTCTATCATACCACCTCCTTCTGTATCATACTATCTCCTTTTCTATCATAGCATCTCCTTCTCTATCATACTATTTCTTTGTACAGCATAATATCTCTTCCTCTATCATACCATATCCTTATCTATCATACCAGCTCCTTATCTCCTTATCTTTCATAACTGTGACGGTCAGGTCGCGTGAGTTTGTCTGTGTCAACTTGTATAATGTTTATTTGGGTGAGTTTCTTTTCCCCGTGTGCCACACGGGTTTTTATTCGTCTCGGTCAAGGTATGACCGGTGTGCTGTGTCGGGAGGAACCACGTGAGGATAGGAGTGTATGACCGGTGTGCTGTGTCGGGAGGAACCACGTGAGGATAGGAGTGTATGACCGGTGTGCTGTGTCGGGAGGAACCACGTGAGGATAGGAGTGTATGACCGGTGTGCTGTGTCGGGAGGAACCACGTGAGGATAGGAGTGTATGACCGGTGTGCTGTGTCGGGAGGAACCACGTGTGTGAGATGAGTTTTTTTTAAGGAGTGAACAGTGGCGAGTGCTGTGGATAGGGTGTATGATTTTTGTCTTGTGAAAGGCAGTGAGTTTTTCTACGGATGGAAGAGGACGTGTGTAACTTTAACTGTTTTGTATAGCATGTGGAGTTTTTTTATTCTGAACACCAGAGCCTATTTCTAATAAAGTTTTCCATTGCTAGGCACACATAGCCAATAAATAAGAAAACCTGAGTCTCTGAATTGTTTGTTGATACTTGGAGCAAGAGTCAGCTCTGTAGGAGCTAGAAATAAAGGGGTTCTAGACCCTTGAAAAATTGTTCTGTGGCTAGTACGCAGGGGACCGACCTCTAGACAACGTACGTCACGTCACAATAACATCTTCTTCTCTAACATAACATCTCTTTATCTTTTATACAATCTGCCTATCCATCGTAACATCTTATTCTCCATCATACTATCTCCTTCTCTATCATACCAGCTCCTTCTCTAAGACACCATCTCCTTCTCTATCGTACTCTCTCCTTCTCTATGATACCATTCTTTTCCATCATACCATCTCCTACTCTGTCATACCATCTCCTTCTGTATCATACCATCTCCTTCTATATCATACCAGCTTCTTCTATATCATACCATCTCATTCTCCAAAATCAAAATGCCATCTCCTTCTGTATCATACCATCTGTTACCTTTAGGGTACTGTAAATGTAATTTGTTTTAAGATTTGCCTCGTTATATAGAATGCACAGTACGTAACAGAGGATTATGAAAAACAGTATACAAAGAGAACGACACAAAGGCTGGGGATATTAACATATCAAATGTGAAGTATCCACATACGTTTGATTGGATATATATTCAAATGGAGATGCAAAATGCCTTAACAAAAGGACAATCAATATATACATTTTAAATTAATGCTCCATTTGCTGCAAAGACGCGTCTAGGCCTGGGGTTCTCAAATTTTCTTCGGCCACCGCCCCTCCCCTCCCCCAATGATACACCAAAAATTTTTTTTTTATTCTGGAAAGTAACACAAAACTGCCATGAAGATAAAAACACAATAAAATGTAAACGAGATAAATGTTATTGAACTTTTAATTAAGATCTTTAAAAAAAGTGTATTTTACTTTAATTAATTCACTATTTAATGTATTTAGCTTGCTCCATTATCATTGCAGCTTTTTAAAGTAGGTTTAAAATTAGGTAATTAGAATAACACCTTATTTCCACATCGCTCAACTCTATGCTGTGGGGGGACCCAGTCAAGTGTAACTATTTCTTCAATGTGATGGTTCACGGTAACTCAACAACAATCTTAAAGATGGATTATATTTCTTTGGAAGACAAGGCTTTTTGACCATTTCCACATTGAAATGAACATTTTCATCTGAAGCTGAAACTTTAAATAAGTTTGCCTAAGCTCTGCCTTCAGCTCCGATTTGAACCAAATTCATCTGCAACTAAACATAGACTTATCACTCAATCTTCAGTCTCAATTATAGAAGATATTAAAATTGCATGTGCCATATTCAAATTTTCAAACGATCTTTTTAAGCAGTGGCGTCACTAGGGGTGTGGGCCGCAACCTTGCCTTCACGGGGGTTGACACCAAGCGAAAACATTTGAAAGTGTTCCTTCAAGTCCTTTTCAAAACAGCACTCAAATAATTACTTGAGCAGAGCGCCACCACATGATCAGGTCAACTCAAGATCACGTTGACACCATAGCAGGACACCACCAGATAATCATGGCACCACAAGATCACGTTGACACCATAGCAGGGCACCACCAGATAATCAGGGCACCACAAGATCAATTTGACACCATAGCAGGGCACCACCAGATAATTAGGGCGCCACAAGATCACGTTGACATCATAGCAGGGCACCACCAGATAATCAGGGCACCACAAGATCACGTTGACACCATAGCGGGGCACCACCAGATATTCAGGGCACCACAAGATCACGTTGACACCATAGCAGGGCACCACCAGATAATCAGGGTGCCACAAGATCACGTTGACACCATAGCAGGGCACCACCAGATAATCAGGGCACCACAAGATCACGTTGACACCATAACAGGGCACCACCAGATATTCAGGGCAACACAAGATCACGTTGACACCATAGCAGGGCGCTACGAGAAGAGTGTGTGGCAAGACAGAGCACATTATCTGTAACAGACCATGTTTGCACACGAAACCATTGAGTCAGGGAGGTGGCATAATTTGAATATTGAACTATGTTAACGTGTATTTTTCACGGGAAAGGAGGTGAATTATATTTTGTACGGCGGAAGTGAGCATCACGTCATTGAGTGATCAGTAGCCGTATCTCTCATGTCGAAGAGAAGTGAAGACGTGTTTGATTTTCTGTCATGTGGATTCTCTATCATACCATGGAGTATTATATATTTATACATGTGTGAGATAACTGCATTCTGGATTTTATTACCTGGATATGTGTGCAAGGATTCTTATTATTATTGTTGTAGAAAGGTGATGTAATAAAGTACTGTGAAATTAACTGGAAATTAATATCTACTTCTTGTGTGACCGGTTAATCGAGTGAAGGAGTGGAAAAAGTATAAGAAATATTACATTACACAAGCCGGCATCCTGAACCATCAATGTAGAAGTAGTTAACCATGCTACTAACCCAACACCCTAATAAAATAGCATATGTTACATTATCTATCACCAGAGCAGGGCGCCACCAGATGATCAGGGCACTACAAGATCCCGTTGACACCAGAGCAGGGCTTCAGCAAAGCAGGTTGCTAGCATAAAAGGGTCTTGCCATATATAGGAGGATACCACTAAAACAGGATGTCAAAGGTTGTCACAAGTGTATCACGAGACAGAGCAAGGTGGCAGCAGATTTGATTTGTCACAAAAGAAGGTTGAATTAGATGATGTGACCAACAGAACAGGTTACCACCAGAGCAGCAATCGTAAATTTGCTTTACTTCAAACGTTCAAATATTTCTGGCAATAGGTGAGTTTTGCCCGATGACTTTGGGGTCAGTATCGAAAGGAACTTTTGTCTTTTTTAAAACATTCCACAGTGTTTAAAAACGCTTCTAAATACGACTTAAACTCTCGTGACTCGGGACGTAAACACTCGTGACGTACACACTCGTCACGTACACACTCGTGACGTACACACTCGTCACGTACACACTCGTGACGTACACACTCGTGACGTAAACACTCGTGACGTACACACTCGTGACGTACACACTCGTGACGTAAACACTCGTGACGTACACACTCGTGACGTACACACTCGTGACGTAAACACTCGTGACGTTAACACTCGTGACGTAAACACTCGTGACGTAAACACTCGTGACGTAAACACTCGTGACGTAAACACTCGTGACGTACACACTCGGGACGTTAACACTTGGGACGTACACATTCGTAACGTACACACTCGTGACGTTAACACTCGGGAGTACACATTCGTAACGTACACACTCGTGACGTACACACTCGTGACGTTAACACTCGGGACGTACACATTCGTAACGTACACACTCGTATTGCGACAGCCAATAAACATTCAGGTTGTTTTTTTTTTTAGCAAACACCCGTAGGTAATGAAGGACACACTGAAAGGTCAAAGATTTTAGACGCTTAAAAAAGCAAACAAACCGAAACGAACATGAAACAAAATATTGTTAACAACCTGCCCTTGACGGTGAAGTTGTCCGTTAATTTAAGTAGACTAACTTATCATATAATAATATATAAACTCTGGAGTGCTGTGATTTCATGTATTTTTTTTTTGTTTAAAGTCCAGTGAATGTGTAGTAAAATATGCCAGCGGCTCCTCTTTAAGGTTCATTCACTATTTTTGTAGAGATTACACCTGAAGATTGGTTATAACGTACTAAATGAATATTTATTATTGTCCTGTGTACCCCTTTGTACTGTTTGTCTCGTGTATTTTCATGATATTTGCACTCTCAGGCCCATGTCCTGCAATGACTTTTGATTTTTGCACTCTCAGGCCCATGTCCAGTCATGACCTTTGATTTCTCTCTGACCCATGTCTATTCATGACGTTTGTACCCTGACCCATGTGTTTTCATGACCTTTATACACTCTGACCCATGTCTATTCATGACCTTTGTACTCTCTGACCCACGTCTTTTAATGACCTTTGTATCCTGACCCATGTCTATTCTTGACCTTTGTACTCTCTGGCCCATGTCTATTCATTACTTTTGTTCAAAGCCAAAAATGATTAGATAATTATAAATATTTTTTTTTCAAATTGTATATAATTCTGTTGTTTTTTTTAAAGTAAGGTTTTCTGGTATATTCCACCAACGCCACCCCCCCCCCCTTCCTCTTTACATCTAGAGATCATTTTACTACCCTGGAGGCGGTATCACCCCTTTTGAGAACTACTGGTCTAGACTGATGAATGGCTGGTTTGGTAGACCCAGTTTCAATACAGATTGAATAGCTTTACATAATGTCATACAAACAGAAACAATGCATCATGTTAAAGGAAGATTCTTTAAAAAGTCAAGAAAATCTGTATAAAGTCAATTCGTTTTTGTTGGAGTTTTTTTTTTTTTAATTAAGACATAACGTTGATATAGGCTCAAACCTGGACAGACTCACTTAGAATTTGGGGCAGGTAGTTCGCTGTTTAGAGTGGGTGCATCGCGAAAATTCCCTCACACAGCATACAGCACGAGTACTTTAAGTTTAAACTTAAAGAATCGATTTGATAAACTTTGATTAGTTCATGCCTTTGAGTGAGACGAATGGTGGGATTTTATTTCAAAGACGCTAAACTCAACACTTTATTCGTATCAATAAATGCAAATAAGGAAGTTTTAATTATTTGTTTTCTAGTCTGAAGTAAAACAAAATTCATGAAAATAAAAACCTTAAATGTATTTGCTTGTGAACATACAAAGGTAATCCAACTTCTCTCCTCGCCTATAAGGCAAAGTCACAATGATTTGAATGCACTAATTAAACAACCCTTTAAAAAACAAAGTTTTTCGAACTAATCCTAGGGGATAGGGGCTTAAAATTAGACAAAACATGCATACACGTAAAGCACTTGATAAGAATCCCAATTAGTGCCCCCCCCCCAATAGACAGGGCCCGCAACCGCACATTTTTCACGCCCCTGAATTATTGTAATATTCTAATGACTCAGACACTTGTACACCACATATTTATTTCACCAACTATTTACAAAAACCAAAGGAAAATATAACGCACCAAACGCACTGGCGATATCTTTTTTTTTATTATAAGAATCTTATTTTGCACAGTGATCAGTAATTTCGCTTCATGTTCCCCTTGAAAAACAGGAACAAACAGATTTGTGGGGAGGTTGGGGTTGCTGGCTGGAACAGAAGATTTCATAGAATATGTTGTCATCGACAACGAGTCTAGGTGCCACGTTTGAGCTCGTTAGGTTGCCGGGGAGTGGGTCAATTATCCGTCCAAACATTTCTCCAGCCAGCCGCCCAAGAACAGAAGCGAACTTAGTTTAAAGGATTTTCAAATGAACTGATTTGTTCACAAAACCTAGGAAATGAATACTCCGTGTCATAGAATCATGTGGCGTCTCGACTCCGTGTCATAGAATCATGTGGCTTCTCGACTCCGTGTCATAGAATCATGTGGCGTCTCCACTCCGTGTCATAGAATCATGTGGCGTCTCGACTCCGTGTCATAGAATCATGTGGCGTCTCGACTCCGTGTCATAGAATCATGTGGCGTCTCCACTCCGTGTCATAGAATCATGTGGCGTCTCGACTCCGTGTCATAGAATCACGTGGCGTCTCGACTCCGTGTCATAGAATCATGTGGCGTCTCGGCCTTGACACTGACACATCACGGCTGAAACGTGTTTTGTTGATTTAATGTTAAATGTCATATCCCGTGTTTATTTACAATTTACCCAAACGTGTGTGTAGGGGGGGGGGTGGCGAATGGGTCGGTACGCCCCGGCTGGGGTAATTTTTCTTAATATTGAAAACGGCTAGTGCAATTGTGAAAGATAATCTGTAACAGACTTGGAAAAATAATAATCCCAATGTAAACGATTGCTAAACTTGTAATAATAATAGCAGAAAAATAAAAATAATTTCATAATATTTTTGCGAACTGAACTCAGCATGAGTCTTCGGATCCCCTATTTCATGATGTAAATGCCTTTTATTAAACGTTACCAAGCGGTCCTACAAAGTAATAATAATATTTTTTTCCTGCGGCGCTCTGCACAAAAAGGTTGCGGACCCCGGCTACAAACAGAACAGTACAACTGATAGCTGGTGTTGATGTTTAAATAATTAAGTCAGTCGCACCCCCCACCCCTCGATCGTTCATTTTTGGAAATTTGATGTTTTATTTCTTAGAAAGACATTAGAAATAAATCATTCTCATTGTCATTCTATTTTGAAACTACACAATATAAAATGCACAATTTAGAATACACAACTTAGAATACACAATTTAGAATACACCATTTAGAATACACAATTTAAACTACACAATTTAAACTACACAATTGAAATTAGATTGCACAATAGAATTAAGCATCTAACACTATTTTTGACCAATATTTTTCTCGACATCTAGAGTCTTTGGCAGAGCTCCGCAACTAGTGTGCCGCCATATGATTTCCAGGAGTGCCGTACAAAATGCCTGGAAGGGGTGTAAAGCCACACAGTATGCTATTAGTATGTAGGCATGTAAATCTGTAAAGATGGGCTTTGGTTTGCCCATTATAATGCTGCTGCTCACTGAGGCAACCGAAACACGCCTAATAGTTAAGAAACATACGTTACTATTAAACTGTACAGTGTAGTCGAACGACTTTTAACAGTACACTCCATTAAGAGCGATAACTTATAATTTATTTGTGCGTGTTTTGTGTTTTTCTTGTGGTGTGCCGCGGAGTTCTCGAAAAGGCTTAGGGTGTGCCGCGCGGAAAAAAATGGATTGCTGAGTTCTGGTCTAGAGAACGATCACAACGGGTCAAAATATTAGGTACTTTTCATATAGAAATGTCCTTGTAGAAGGCAGATCCTTGAATTCTAAAAACTCGTAGGGCAACATGGATTGATCAACATGGATTGAAAAAAAAATGGTTTTAACCAACGGATCGAATCAATGTGGATTGAAATAACATGGATTGAAAAAAAAAACATGGATTGAACTTTGAACTAAAGGGATAGAAACACCATGGAATGAAATAATATGGATTGAAATATCATGGATTGAAATAACATGAATTTAACTTTGAACTAAAGGGATAGACACGACATGGATTAAAAAAAAAACATGAAATAAAATAACATGGATTGGAACAACATGGATTGAACTTTGAACTAAGGGATAGAAACAACCTGGATTGAAATAACATGGAGTGACTTGCAATGGAGTTCTCTAAACATACGAGTGAATAGCTTTCATCTCCACACAATTAGGCTTTAAAATAAAACTGCATTCTGCAAAACAATTTCTCAACGCCGATGCTATTAAAGCGCAGCTATCAAACAGTGTTATGAAATCCTTTATATTAGCTTCGCTTGTTGTGTTTTTCTTTGGAGCACAAACCTTCGTAAGGCTAAGGCTAATTTGACCAACGTCCCGTCTACCTATCGAGCTGAAACTTGGCACACAGACTTGTTGCCGATGACAACACATTCTCTCAAATCTTCAGCCCCACCCTTAAAAATAAGAATTTACTGTGGGAGATGACTTTGGAAACAAACATAATGCATAAAAAGGATTTATACGAAAACAATTTTTTTTTTTGGGGGGGGGGAGGGGTTGCGGAGTCGTTTAACATTGTTTTTAGAACTGTGGCTATGCGGAGTTTTTATTTTTATTTCGTTGATGCATTCAGCGTTACAATAAATAAAGAAAAGTATTTTAAATCAAGTGAATAGTGCTATTATTTATAGATTTCAGTTCAAGAAATATTTCTACAGGATAGTTAACTCAAACCAATTTAAATACAAGTAACCGTCGTTTAACTGCTCCTATTTAAGAAATAGTTTTTAAAGCGTTTTTATTTAAGTAACAATTTTTTCCCCCTTTTTTTTAAAGTATAAAGCTACTCTTCTTTATACAGCTCCGACGTGAACAACGTGAAGAAAACCATTTTATTATTTTGTTAATGTTGTTCATTTTAGTTTTAATAAAGCTTCGAAAGTCAAAAAGTTGAAAGATTTTTTGAATTTTCTGAATTGGTTATAGAATTTCATTAAGTTGGCATGTTTCAAAAATAAAAGGTTTATTTTAGTGTAATCACTTCGCTAAATTTAAAGTAATTCAGGTTTTGTATTGCTTCCTTTAGAGCCATTGACATTCTCTCTTAGACAAATGCAAGCTCTCCCTTTCTTCATGTCAATGTTTGACCGTTTATGTGATTGTGGCTTTAAGACTCATTGCAACATTGACTCTGTCAACCCTTGAACTACATCTTAAGACTCATTGCAACATTGACTCTGTCAACCCTTGAACGACATCTTAAGACTCATTGCAACATTGACTCTGTCAACCCTTGAACTACATCTTAAGACTCATTGCAACATTGACTCTGTCAACCTTTGAACTACATCACCTGTAAAGGCGGCAATGGAACACGTCGATGTGACATGTCCTCATATTGTAGTTAAATCGAGAAAAAAAAAATTGGCGTTGAAATTAAATGTAGGCCTTTCTCCACACAAAACTTTATCGCATGCTTCCATTCCATGTTTTGCACGTGAAATAGGAAGATTTAAAAAGTAAAGATAAAAGTTTATGAATATCACTCCCCAACCCACCCACTCTTTCCGCCAACTATTTATTTATAAATTATTTTTGATGAAAAGTTGATAAACTTATTTTCAGTTAGTTTTTTTTTTTTATAATGTCAAACAGTTCAAATGTAATTTTAAATGGCCATGTCGTAATATCTCACAGTTCAAGTTACTGATCAAGCCAAATCTCTGATGTATCAATTAAAACCATTCATACATTGAGATTTTTTAAAACAAATTTTCAGCTTAGGCAGAGCACTCAAATAGAAAACTCAACATTTTAATACTTTGACTGTATTTCATTACCTTCGATTGTCTGATGGTTGTAGAAAGTTTCGGGAGCACTTTCAGAACACTGTTGCGTCGGGTACAAGATCAACAAGCTGGCTGACGGACACTCGGACAGTCGCCTAAATATGCTGCTGCGATCTTGATGATTTTTTAAAAACTGTATAGCTTCCGGCGAATGAATGTGCGTCGCGTACGTCAATTCATAACGTCGGGTACAAGATCAACAAGCTGGCTGACGGACACTCGGACAGTCGCCTAAATATGCTGCTGCGATCTTGATGATTTTTTAAAAACTGTATAGCTTCCGGCGAATGAATGTGCGTCGCGTACGTCAATTCATAACGTTTTGTAAGTCGAGCCCTGAAACTATTTTGTCATGCCATCACGAGAGGGACCTGTACAATTAGTCTGCAGCTGTGGATGTCTTCTAGAGGCCGCCGTTTGACGGAGGAGAGACAGTGGGACGTCAAAATTGTTCGCTGACAAATGGTGTTGGTCCTGGTTCAAACTTAAAGACAATGAATCTCAATCTTTGGACTCGTAAAGCTCATTACTGCATACAGTCGTACCTCAGTGATCGCGGTCAATCAGTACCGCGATAAGTGAATTCCCGGAATGGGATTTTTTTTTTTTTTTTTTTTTTTTTTTTTTTGAATCGAAAATTTTCGTAGTTAACTGTCAATTATTCTTATTTTTTAAAATATAATTTAAACGTATTTTAAACTTTTTACTAATTTTTCATTCAACACTCTTTGGTGAGATTGACGGAATGAACTCTCTGGTGAGTGCGATGGGCGGAATGAACCCTTTGTTGAGAGCGACGGAATGAACTCTTTCGGTGAGATTGACGATTCTGAAGACTAGTATGATTTGAATCTCTGTTTTAGAAACATCGACTCTACGTGTTTGCTGAACGATTTCAACTAACTCAAGCAGCCCCATTCATCAATGCCTAACCAAGACCTAACGACCAAGCTAACCTACCATCATGGATGTACGTGGGGGCGTTCATTAACATTTCGTAGTTATCTTTACTTCAAACGGCGCTCAAGAATTTTAAACTTCATTCATTTTACCGACTTTATGTCAAGCGTGTAACTTGAACTGTAACACGACCCAAACAGATTCTGGCGTGGTTTTAGAGGTATTACGGTAGTTGAAAAAACGTCACTGATGCCAGGTGTTTCGGAACATTTAAAGGAAAAACAACAACAAAAGAAGCGAAATAGAAAAGCCCAAACAAAACCTAACTCATATCGAGGACGTAACGAGCGACTTAAACAAAAACAAAACGTGCAATAGTTCAAGGCTTACTGTATGGTCCAGGTGCCGGGCCCCTAAATTCATCTGGGGTTGGCGTGCATAGATTTAATAGCCTCGGTCCGTGCTCGTGACGTCAGCGTTGCGTCATCTCTGGACTCGCTCCCGTCTGCTGCTCGCTCCACTTCCAGCCACCATGGCCAGTGGCAAGTCAACTTTTTATACCCAACGTCCCAGAAGTCTGGCAACCTGGGACTCGGCCGCCGTCACTCCACTCAACCACCCGCTAACGCTGTCACTTCACCCCCCACCCCCACCCCCCAGACCCAGCCCACCCCACGTCTCCATGCTTTCCTCCGATGTCTCCTAATCATGGCTATGGAAACGTGGGGGTGGGGGAGGGAAGGGAAGCGGTTGAGAGAGTTTACAACTCCGACTGGATAAAAAAATAGTTACGCTTCGTCCATGTCTCAGTATCGAAAAGTCTACAATACTTGCTTCGTCCATGTCTCAGTATCGAATACTCTATGATACTGGGTTTGTCCAAGACTCGTCATCGTAAACTCTACGATACTGTGTACGTCCATGGCTCAGTATCATAAACTCTACGATACCGAGCTCGTCGGTGTCACAGTATCGAAAATTCTACGATACTGGGTTCGTCGAAAGATCCTGATAGTCTCTTTTTGAAGATGGTCGGTCTCCTCCATAGCGATGTATGTGGACAAAAAATGGTGGAATTAAACAGCTCCTAAAGTTTTTGTATCGATCATTTATATGCATTTTTTTAAAATTATTTTATATTAATATTCTAATGTCCCACCCACTCTTAACCGCACAGTTATCTCCAGAACTATTTCAGAAAACAAAAGAAAACATTACGCACCAAACGCATTTGCGATATTTTTTTAAAAAGTATCTTATTTAGCGCAGTTATCGTATAGAGAATTTCATTTCGTGAAGTCAGCGTAGTCATATTCCCTTCACCTTCCTCTTGACAAACAGAAGAAACTGAATTTTGGGGTTTGGGTGGGGCTGAAAATTTAATAGAATGTGTTGTCTTGGACAACGAGTCTACGTGCTAAGTTTCAGCTCGATAGGTTGACGGGCAGTGGGTCGATTCTCCTTCCTCAGATTTTTTTTCCACAATCACGCAAAAGCGAAGGTAATAAAAAGGAATACAAATTATTATTTTCATTTTTAAAACAACAGGGCTACGCGCATGTTCCCTGGTTGCCTTTAAAGCTTTCTCAAGAGTCAGAGAAATGAAAGGTCAACTCTAAACTTAAGATAATAATATGAAAAACCAGACGAATATTGTGAAAAATGTCGAATCCGAATCTGTGGCCCCTGCTTATAACGATACGGAGGAATTTTCAATAATCTTCTCTCCATTTGTGTGTGTGTGTGTGTTTCTTCTTATTTTTATGTCTTTCCCAACCCTCTCTTCCTCTCACAATTGGATCTCCTCCCACGCACTGGAAGAACATAGCGCCCTAAATAGCACCCCTGCCCGCAACAGTAAACATAAACGCGAGCCTCGGGGAGACTGATGAAACGGTTTTCTGGCGTTGGCTCCGCTCATTAGCCCGCTTGGAAGGCTTGTGTTTCATTCATTGGCCTCGATCTGGCCGTGAAAATGGCGACGGAATCTAGCGTAAACTAATCATAATTCAACAGTGTTTTTTTTTGATTGGCCGTTTTTCTCAGATTAAAACGCTGGATGACGCGTCAATTTAGCCAATACGGAAATTAGTACGAAGGAATGTTGTTCGAACCCAAGTTAGTTTCGAACGGAAGTTTGTTCGAGCGCAAATAAGAAGAAAAACCAACACAAATAAATCTTATTACACATTTTTATTTTCTTCATTTATCGCTAAAAAAAAAAAAAAACTCGTTTAAAAAAAAAAATTAAAATGCTTCCTTTAACAAATTTAATTTGGAACAAACTCAATTCCAACAAATTTCCGTGCGAACACCATTGTTGCGTACAATTTGTTTTTGTACCAATTGGTTACACACTCATTTCCGGTAGCCGTCAATTTTGTCTTTCGTATGCTCAAATCTATAAATACCTTCGTAAATATGGTTGATTTGTTTTTTTCGGTTGATATCTGGTGGGATACCAAGCAGTAAGTATTCGGCTGATATCCCCTGGTGGGATACCATGCAGTAAGTATTCGGCTGATATCCCCTGGTGGGATACCAATCATTAAGTATTCGGCTGATATCCCCTGGTGGGATACCAAGCAGTAAGTATTCGGCTTATATGCTCTGGTGGAATTCCAAGCAGTAAGTATTCGGCTTACATACTCTGGTGGGATACCAAGCAGTAAGTATTCGGCTTATATACTCTGGTGTAATACCAAGCAGTAAGTTTTCGGCTGATATTCCCTGGTGGGATACCAAGCAGTAAGTATTCAGCTGATATCCCCTGGTGGTATACCAGGCAGTTAATATTCGGCATCGCTTTCACTCAATAAATCTGTATCTAATTCACATTCTTAAAAATCGATGGTAACTTGAGAACCACTTCTCCTTTCACCTCCAACAGAATCAACCAAACCTGGTAACTTGAGAACCAATCCTTCCTTAACCTCCAGTAGATTCAACAAAACTAGGTAACTTGAGAACCTCTCCTTCTTTAACCTCCAGCAGAGTCAACAAAACCAGGTAACTTGAGAACCAGTCCATCTTTAACCTCCAGTGGAATCAACCAAACCAGGTAACTTGAGAACCAGTCCTTCTTTAACCTCCATTAGATTTAACAAAACCAGTTAACTTGAGACTCACTCCTTCTTTAACCGCCAATAGGATCAAGAAAACGAGTTAACTTGAGAACCCTCCTTCTTTGATATACAATAAAATAAACATCCAGGGGCGTAGCTAGTGGGGATGCGGGTCGTACCGGGTGACACCATCTCAGGGGCTGACACGAAATTTAAAAAAAAATTGTATATCTCCAGAATTCTAACCGAATTTCATCAAAGGATAATCAATCGCATTTCAATTCTCCACACATATAACCCATCCAAAGGCGTGCTTTATTTAAAGTTCAAGGTTGATGCTTCAACTGTGTGTCGCTATAATTAGATCAGAAAAACGCTGTTTCGATAATGATGCAACGCCGATTGAAGTGTTCGATAACTTTCGTGCGTGACAGGAAGAAATATTTTTTTATAAATTCTGAGAAATATAGCTTTCCAAAAATACCCAACGGGCGATCTAAGTATAACAGTTCTTTAACTACATTTCAGACCGCCAATTAATTTGTTTTTGCTCTTGCCATTGTTATACTGTCGACTTATTTTCACAAGACAAAATCCACTGTCAACCACACCATTATTTGAACATTCGCCGCTATTTTTATGTATCTCAGGCAGTATTGTGACGGCGTTAACAGCTCTAACGACATAACACCAACACACATAACGTAAAGTTAGTCCACCACCCATCCACTCATAACATTCTACATGGAGGAACATTACCCCGCCCCCCGATCTCCCCCCCCCCTTCCATTTTTCTAATGTGCAAATGTTCTCATTTGCCCCTCCAAGTGGACGCCCCATAAAATAATAGAGGCTTTTTTCTTTTGACCGATGTTTGCTGGATAAAAAGCTCCTCTATCCATAATTTCGAGTTGACGAACTTTTCTGCCAGCCATTTTTTTGTTATTGCTTTGGATAAAGTCAATTTTCTTCTTCTAAATTTTTTATTCCCTCCCTTGTCAGCCACATACCCCCCAACCCTCCCACCCCCACCCCCACAGCTCCCAATTCAATTTTTTTTTTTTAGATTTTCCTACGTGCACAAACACGTCTGACCTGTCTGAGCTGAACTTTTCTGAAATTACAAAAATATATGTTTTAATATTTTAATAAAACAATTCCCAGCAACCGTGATCTGGGTGAGCCCCGATCCAGTTAAATTTAATTATGATTGAACGCATTCTCAAACCTATCTTTTCTTTCCAAATAAAACTCGGCTCTTCAAACCTTGTCAACTTGGGCGTAGGAGGGCAGACGACGCTACCAGAAAAAAAATCACTTTGATTGAAACGTCCATAAAAAATGTGTGAAATATATTCCTTTGATCCTGGCTTTTCAAGGTTTGGATGTTTTTGTTTGTTTGCTTATGTTTTGTGTTTTTGATAAAAATGTTACATTAACTAAAAACGCGGACGTGTAAATTGAAAAGAAAAAAATGCGTTTGCAAGTTACAGTTATGACTAATAGCCGATAAATTCATATGTTATCGCGTTTTTGCTTTGTTCAGTTTTGAAGTTGTCCTAAATTGATGTTTTTGTTGAGTTTTGAAGGTGTCATAAAGTGATTTTTTATTCAGTTTTAAAGATGTCCTGAAGTGATGTTGTTTGTTCAGTTTTGCAGATGTCCTGAAGAGATGTTTCTGTTTCGTTTTGCAAATTTCCTGAAGTGATGTCTTTCATTTAGTTTTGAAGATGTCCTGAAGTGATGTTGTTTGTTCAGTTTTGAAGATGTTCTGAAGAGATTTTCTGTTTCGTTTTGAAGATGTCACGAAGTGATGCTTTTTGTTGAGTTTTGAAGATGTAATGAAGTAATGTATTTTGTTCCATTTTAAAGATTCCCAAAGTGATATCTTTTGTTCAGTTAAGAAGATGTCCCAAAATGATGTTTTTTTGTTGAGTTTTAATGAAAAGTTCTTTTAGAAAATTAAGCTTATTTTATTTTAGCACATGATTGCTATATGATCAATTATTTTTGTTAGAACATTACTATTACTTCAATTTGTATTTATTTGTTTAAGTAAAGTTCTGCAAGGTTGGGGTCATTTTAATCTCTCTACTTAGGAAGAATTTTTTAATACAGCATCAACAATGAAAGTTTACATTACACCACACCACTAAGTTCTCAATTACTTTTGATGTGGCACATTTCAGGTCAGCATTTAATAATTTACTAGATATAGCCCACCAAACATTGGCGACAGCAAGACGTGAACTTCCCCTCTACAAAAGTTACTTGAGAAAAACGTAAACTCCAATTACGCACATTTAAGAATGCCAATTTCGCTACACTTCTTCCGCCCCCCCCCCATTTTTTTTTCATGATACGTCACGGAACACTTTTTATTTCACGCTCATGAACTATATAAATATAGTAGACCCGCGGCTTAGCATACGCCGTGAGCTTGTTGGGGTGTGCGCATGGCTGGCAA